AATATAACTTTCAATCGAGTACTGGCGTTTTGGAGCCAAAGTCGAGACGAGTACATAGTAATTATCGGTTGAGAGCGTATTCGATACAATGGGAACTTAGGGCTGATTTCCTTGACAGATACCTTGACTACAGATCAGATCAGAGCTAAGTTGGGGAAACTACGTGGCATCACGAAGGAAACCTGCGTGGAAGAACATTGGAACTAACTCCCTGAAGGTGATGTTCAAGGAAACGTGCATACCTTTTCTAGGAAGAAAGAAGAGACAACGCAAGGAATGGCTCTCTATGGTTATCTACCAAGGAGCAGATCGAGGAGGGTGGCGCTGAAAGAGATGATGACTCAATCCAAAGATGGGCAACAGAAGGATAAGCTGGGTTCAGTGTACACTGCACTGAATAAAGCAGTAAAGAAGGGTGCTAGGGAAGACAAAAGACAACCCTAAGATACACTGTCAACTGAAGCAGAACAGGCCCGGGCGAAAGAGGTCTGAAGACATTATGTCAAATAACCAGGTCTCTATCCGGAAAGAGATCAACCCAGATGATGAAATCAATAAAAGATGCTCAAGGAAACCAGATTGACAAGTGGGAGGAACAAATAAATCAATGAGCTGATCACTTTAAGGGACTCTTGAATCGACCACCACCTGCAACTCGCCCAGAAATACCACCGACAGCACATACAGTACTGCCTACCAGTAGACACCAACCCTCCGACGAAAGCAGGAATCTGAATGAAGTCAAGCCACTGAAGTCCGGAAAGGCAGCAGAACCAGGTGGAATTCCCCTACTCTGAAGCACAGAGGATGGACGTGGAGACTGAGGCGTATGTTCTCACGCCAATTGTTGCGAAAGATTTAGAAGGAAGGAAAGGTACCTACCGATTGGAAGGAAGGCCACCTCATCAAGCTGCTAAAGAGTGGCAATCTAGGCCCGTGCAAGAACTGGCGTGGAATCATGCTCTTGTCCACGCCAAGAAAAATACTAAGTCGCATCATCCTAGAGAAAATAGAGGATGCACTGGATACAGAACTCCGCCAGCCCAGAACAAGCTGGTTTCAGTAAAGGCAAATCAAGTGCTGATCAAATTGCAACTCCACACATCGTCATCGAACAAAGCGTAGAATGGCAGTCAAACCTCTACCCCATCTTTACCGACTTTGAAGAGGCCTTCGAAGGCGTTGACCGAAAAGTAGTTTAGAAATTGCTTCAACACTACGGCGTACTTCAATTATTTATTAACCTCATTCAACAGCTATATGACAATGCCACATGACAGGTGATCCACAACGGGACACTCAGCGAGTCGTTTGGAGTGAATGCAGGAGCAAGACAGGGCTGTCTATTATCACCGGTCATATTCCTAATTGTGGTGGACTGTATTATGCGTCAGACTGTGGGGAACGAGGAGAGAGGAGTTCGCTGGACCACTGATAACAAGACTGAAGTAGAGCTGGATTACTCAGATGACATATGTCTAATGTCACGTAAACTCGAAGACTTACAGGCAAAAACCAACAAACCAGCTGAAGAGACTGGGAACGAAGATAGCAATGCAGGTGGACACAGATAAGACGGAGGTGGTGAGGATAACCAACCAACACCAGCAACAACAACCAGCACCAATCACCATCAACGGGGGTGATTTAACGGAGGTTACTTCCTTGACTTATCTAGGAAGTATCGTTTCAATTACAGGTGGAACGGATGAGGATGTCAAAGCATGTCGGAATCGGAGAGGCAAGATACACGTTCACCAACTGAAACCAGTCTGGAAATCGTTTGCACTCAACGTCAGGAAGAAGATTCGGATTTTCAACAGCAATGTGAAGTCGGTTTTTAATACGAGTCAGAAACTTGGCCAGCGTGCGTTGAAAGGGATGTCCAACAGGTCGCAGACTTTGATCAACGGCTGCCTTCGCTCCATATTCAAGACCAAATGGACAGAAAGATTTAGTGGCAATAAACTCTGGCTGGGAACAAGCCGACCAAATGTCTATCGCCTAACAAATATGTATGAGAAATGGAGATTAATCAAGCATACATTGAGGAGGCCTCGAATGACATCTCGCGCCAGTTTTAAATAACCCCTTGGGGTATTCAATATAATAGGTGTTCATAACCCAGCAAATTTTGAGGGAATTCTTCATAACAAAAGCAGACTTTATTAGTGGTGGCATTATTCGTGGTCATAATATCAATTATATGATTTCCTTCCTACTCCGAACAGTTTGGCCAACATAAAGATTATTTTGTGCGTGACATGTTAAAGGGTACACAATTTCCTAGAGAGAGCAATTTTATTCAAATAATAGTATCACACTCGGAAACTTGAGTCACGATGTGGAAAACATTTAAAACTATCTTCATTTTCCTTGCCACCAAATCAGAGCATCAAGTAGGATGAAGAAAATAATTACAGAAGATATGGACAAGATACATTACTGCAGAGTTCTGTTTAATCCCTGAGAGCCGTTCCAAAATGTAGTAATGTATGAGTCATTAACGGAATCTTTTGAGGAGGTGGAAACGCACAGGTATTGAATCGATAGGCATTAAAATAATATTCTGCTCTCCATTATTCAGTCTTTCTGCTCACCTATTGCCAGTTTCTGTAGACTCTTTGTCTATTTGAATGCCTGCAAAAAAGCATTTATAGGTGCCAGCAGCACCAATGTCCAGGTACAAACCATTCACGTCTAAAATGAACCAATGTCCCTGCTCTTTTCGCATCCAGCAAAGCTTTGGCAGTCATGGAGAAAGTTGTAATGGAATCCTCCAAAGATCTGGAGACTTTCTGAAATAGCAATGAGGGAGCTCGCGGAAACGACAGGATTTGCTTTAGGTCATACCTACGTCGAATTTTAGAAACTCTGGAATGACCTTGGGTAGATCCACTAGGTACTGTTTCAGTTTTCAAGGTCCTGTCCGTTGGTAGGCTGTCGTACATGGTGAGATTTTAAAGGTTATGGACTGTTGCGACAATCTAAATAATTACCCTGAGTTATTGAATCCTCTATACCTCTTTCGATTCCATATCTCCTACTTACAAATACACACTGACAACCTTTAAGTGGGCATAGTATTGTGCCAGCTCGATGTGGAAATGATGCTAATGAAATTTGAACATTCTTCCCATGTGGTGATCAAAGGGAGAATAGGTGGCCAAGTAAAACGATTTCCTGCACCAAGTAGTACTTTGTAAGATTTTAGGTATTAGCTGACTAAAATGCTGTTAAGAACACAATGAATCTGCCTAAACGAAACTTAACAGCATTGCTCAGCTTTATTGTCATGAAGCTGCAGCTTCGGAAAATATCTCAGGAAAAAAGTTCAGTCAGAGAATTTTTACTTGATTACGGGTAAATTGGGACAAAACGTAGAATGCCTTCTGTTCCGCTTCTTTAGAAGTGAGAAAAGTTGGCTTTGCTCTAGCGTGGGGAATTAGTCCGTTAAACACGTAGAATAAGTAGGACAAAGTAGGTTTTAATGCTGAATTTTACCTACACATCATCCATTCACTAACTTTCCCTAATTGGGTATTTTATCCAGTCAGAATAGCCTTGAGTGATGAGTACTTATTTACGTTCATTGTGTATTTCAGACCTTCCTAGTACCGCACTGCAGCTCGGAGAAAACAGGAACATGAATCGTCGCCCTACAACACCGCTGCATTTATATGCATACCTTCTCAGAAAAGTACGACTGCTACCACCACATATGCAAGGACACTATAAGCACGAAATCAGACAGGTATGTCTAGCGATATTGCTGACAGTAAATTAGCATTTTAATAGTCATGCAGATGAAAATGATCCACGCCGCATAAATGAGATTATGTCCAAAGCGATACAAGATATGGACTGGATAGTTAAAAAGGTAAGTTCTGAAAGTCTCACCGTCTCATAACATTCAGCACACTTGACTTTCACTGTTACAGTAATCCAGTGGTATGAACAAAAAATAAAATTGTTTTAGCAGTGAATTTTTTTTATCAAAGTATACAGGAGAATATCGCGAGCAAAAATGTTACTCAGAATTCAATAACCGTCGATCAGAGTTGTGCTTAGAAGACAAGCCGCCTGGAACAATAATAAGGGAGATTAGGTGACGTGGTTCAGAGGTACCTGAGACAAACGATCGATCAAATTCCTGAGGTATCAAGGTATAAAAATCAGTTGTGCCATGTCCGTGGGTCTCCAGCTGTCACCTAATTGGGTGGACCAAGGCCACCTTCGTTTTGGAAATTATAAAGTCTAGGAATGGTTGACATGCAGAGTTTGAAGCTCTTTGCTACCCGGTTGCAGTTAAAGCATTTAGGATTTCGATGTCATTTTAAAGGGCCTCTGAATTCATTGATAAAAGCATTTTCAGGATGCCATGTACGTTGCATATAAACACGCCATCTCTGTAATTAGGAAGACGTTAACACTCTGGAACTAGTAAGAAGAGTAGATAATTAATTCGCCCTGTCAAGATGAGACTTTCGGAAATTTTAAGATGTCCTCCATTTTATTGTGGGAAAGGTAGTAGTCTCATATAACAACATCAGTAACAGCCACACTGTTTACTCATCCGCAAGAAATTCAACAACTGATAAAATGTGAGGAAGCGATGCTCGAATGAAAAATACTTCAAATGGATTTCTTCACAGGGTTGTGAACTTCCAAAACTTGTTGTCGGAGTTGGTGTTGATGATACGTCCAGAAAGTTTTTTGAAGAATAAACAGTGAAGATTCATAAATAGTACTCCACCTGCGTTCCTAAACCACAAAGACACAAAGGGAATCTTTTTCAATTATTTTACATCCTAATGATTATTTCAGCAATATGATGAGGAATAAATGAAACCGAACAATCAAGTGAAGAAGAAAATGTCTAGAGAAAGCTAAGCTATATATTTTATTCTGCTAATATATTTTCTGTCCATTGTTGTTTGAACGCGTAGATGTACACTTAGAGCTCCTGACTAACTTGCCGCCTATTATTATTTCTCGATATGTTGGAGGAGTCATGTGAATCGTCTGATGGTTTGGATAATATTTTTTCAGATGAACTTAACAAAATTTCAACTCTCGAGGAGACGGGAGGGCTGCCTACGCTCTGCGGTATTTGCGAGAAGCCCTTCTCAAACCCGGTTATCTTGAGTTGTCTTCACATATATGACCGTGATTGTCTGCAGAAGTTTGAGCAAAGCGATAATGTCGTACCTTTTACTAAGTGTCCGAAGTGCGAAACATTATCTAGTAGTGTAAAGACACTCGAAGCCTATGATATGACCATTGTCCAAACACGTGATGGCGACGACACACAACAGTTAAGTGGGAAAGGAGTCAAGTGCTCTGTGTGTACAGATGGCAACGACGCTCTCTATCGATGTATGCATTGCGCAGGTACTTTGTGTGAACGGTGTCGTGATATTCACAAGGTATGTTGAGGTGATAATTTCTAAAATTCTAGGTTATGAAGGTTTTCTCAAACCATGAAATATTGGACTTAACTGAAGAGGAGAAGTTAAATTCTGATGTGTTGCAGCGCAACATGCTGAACAATAAACCAGTGATGTGCACAATTCACCCGGAGTGCATATTGACTTCGTTCTGTTTACAGTGCCATGTAAGTTGTCACATTTTGATGTCATATGACTAAAGATCCCCTTATGTGAGGCGTGTTTTGATTATGAACACAAAGGACATATAACAATTCTGTTGGAGTTAGTGCCTACACACATTGACTCTTTGTTGTCGGATATGATTGACGTTTGTCGTCTAAAACAAAAAGACTTTCGTGATTCAGTTGATGTGATGCATAGCTTACTATCAGAGCTAAGTGCATCTCGAGATACCAATAAGACTGTTATAATGGAGACTTGTAAACAGTGGATAGCAGCGATTGAGAAGGTGAAGGTAAGGTGTAGATAAACCATATATATATTTTCTTAGGAGAATTGTATTCTTAAAAATAGAGAGATCCATGATGAAATAGAAATGAAAGTATGGTCGCAAATTAATAACATGAACAAAACTATTGATCATGTCGACTTTGCATGTGAATTCGTCAAAACGTATCTTAGAAAGTGTTCCAACATTGAAGTATGCAAACTTTTTAAGAATGTTCTTGCATGTTTTGACAAGCTGTCGAAACAGCAAGCCATCAGTGATTTCTCAGCGAAATTCCTATTTACACCAGGTACTGCAAGTGTTTATGATGTTGTTCGTCAACAGTTCGGTTCTTTCGGATTCACTAATTCATTGGATTCAAGCGTGCAACAAATCACAGATACACTACTACAAGCATTCCCGGCACCCAACTCTCACATTTCAGCCTTAAGTGGCGTGGAAGATGTCGCAAATGATCTTAAGCAATTAACAATCAAATCTGACGGACGTATCGACACAGACTCTATTGTATGTATGGACCAAATATTGCCTGCACAGTTGACCCCAGGTAGTCCGGTACATCCAGACATCCGTGACAATAATGCAAATCCAACTTGTGTTGCAAATGGTAGTCTCAACAACTACATTGTAAGATCTAACAATTCAAGTCGTCCTTCCAGCAATTGGTGTGACTTGAGTGTAACACTACCTAACCTGGAACCCCCTGAGTTTCTGTCTAACGTAACACAAGTTGATTCAGTTTTTGGCACGCCTTTTATTACAAGTGAGAATTTCAGACCTGGAAACAGTATCATGCCGCCACTGGATGTTGACCCCAGTCTAATGTTGAAGCAGAAGCTCCCAGGCAATTACAGTGCAACGCTGTATGAATATAGTCGTATAAGATCAGCCCGTTGTTCAGAAATGAATATTCTAACAAAGTGGGGCGCCCTTGGTTGTGAATTGGGGCGCTTGAATTCTCCGCATGGGTTTTGTTTGGGCTTCGATGAAGAGATAGTGGTTGCTGACACATACAATCATCGCATTCAGGTGAGCTAATCTCTTACTAATTATTTTCGCACAGATATTTTCGAAGCAGGGCAAATTCGTATCGTTTTTTGGTGTATCAGGAAGGGTGGATGGTTTAATGTGGTATCCACGCAAAGTGGCAATAATAAGACAAAGTCAAAGATATGTTGTCTGTGATAGGGGTAATGAACGTTCCCGTATGCAGCTGTTCAGTCGAAGTGGACATTTCGTACGACGTATTCCAATTCGTTACATAGATATTGTTGCAGGATTAGCGATTAACCAACATGGTACTTTGTCTCTATTTGCTAATACTTTTCAGGTCATATTGTTGCTATTGATAGTGTTTCACCGTCGGTTTTTGTTGTATCAGAAGAGGGAGATCTCGTCCGTTGGTTTGACTGTAGCAATCACATGAGAGAACCATCTGATGTTGCAATACATGGTCAGGAGTATTACATTTGTGATTTTAAGGTAATGTTCTCATTACGTTTACAAGCTTCTTAGGCACATTGCGTTATTGTTTTTCAAGAGGATGGAACTTTTATCCGTCGTATAGGTGGCGAATCAATTACAGATTTCCCAAATGGAATAGATGTTAGTGATCATGGTGACGTGCTTGTTGGAGACTCACATGGGAACCGGTTCCATATTGCTGTTTTTAGCCGAACAGGTGAGCTACTCAGTGAATTCGTCTGCAACCAAACAAAAGTCAGTCGCTCCTGCTGCTTAAAAATAACAACTGAGGGTTACGTTGTAACACTTGCTCGGAGTTCTAATAATGTCCTGGTCATGGAGACTTTATACATATGTTAATACCAACTGCCGACCGGTTGATATCCACAGGACAACAAATATACTTCCCAAGATATTGTTCTTCCATTCTATAGTAGCACCATTGGATTTCACTCAACCTCACCATGATATACATTTTCGAGGAGTATTTATGACTGTCTGTTTTGGACAGCTTCTAACTCTTTCGTGCTTCAGTCAAGAGTCATTCTTCCCCCGTGGTTATTCCGGGGTGTTCGTGATAATTTTTTCAACTTTATTACAGTATGTTTTTCTGTTTATTCATATTCACTTTTTCTTATTAATTTTGGGAACTCTGATTTCAAGTGAGTTCGGCCTTTCCCATATTTATATTGATTGTTATTATATTATTATTATTATTGCTATTATTATTTATTGTTATTATTATTACTATTATTTATTATTGTTATTATTATTATTATTATCATTACTAATATTTCATTTATTGAGTCCGGAGACAGTTTCAAAAAACATCGAAGAACCACATTTTATTGAAATTTTTCAAGGGCTTAGAAACATTAGATAGCATTTTATCTGAATCGTTTTCACGGTATTTTTGCAATATTTTTGAGATTACGGATTATTGTTTTTTCTTTTTTTCTTATTGCATCACTTATTTATAGTCTAGTTTGCTTAGTCTAGTGTACTAAGTTCGATTTATTTTCAGTGAGTCAATCACGTGCTTAAATCCGACATTATAGTTGGTTTTTCCAAGTGATTACACACGTGCCTTTCATTCATTTCTTGACATGACAATTAGCTGTTTTCCCAACTTTTACCTTTGATATTGGATTGCTCATTTATTAGGCTCAGGCCGTTTTCATAGTTTTCAACATATATCTATCGGTCATGCATTTGTTTCGCCGTTTTCCGTTATATTTTGGCTCCCTGATGGGGGTCTTCATAAGTGAATAATTTCCTTATCCATTCCGTTTTTCTGAATTAATTGCCAAATATTTCATTGATCTTGATGTTAATTATGTACCAAAATCTCAGAGTCCAATCTTTTTTAAATATGTCGATGTCTCATTTTTGCATTAAACTGTTTTTTGTCTTTCTTAAAACTTCAGAATATTATGTCATGTTTTAGCAATAATGATTCCATTTTCACATATTGAAAGACTTGTCAATTTTTTTTGTCATTTTGTTTATAAAAGATCATGTAATGGTCTATTTTGAAGCACAAATTTTCGCTTGTATTCTCTGCCTGTTGGTTTATCATACAATGTTTTCTTTTATACCATGTGTTTTTGATATCTCCACTCTGTGTTGCAAGGTAGACTGTGCTTTATGTTGTTAATCCCAGCTGAAATGATGTTCTCATGCTGACTGATGTTAAGTATTGGATCTATTCAGTTTATGAAGTGATCTCTCGTTTAAGTCTTGTTTGCTTCAATTCGTTTTGTGTAAGGTGGGAGAAGAAATTAGGATCATGGATTGAAGAACTACCTGGTTTTCTCTCAACATACTGTTAGTCTGTTAAATTATTATTAATTTTATGAAAATATTCCTTCATTGCCGACTGCACCGGGTATCCTGACACGGACTACTCTTGGCTGCGTTTTAAGAAAGAATTTGGCAAATAACCTCATACTGTGAGTAGGAAGTATCCAAGTTTTATATGAATAAAAAGCGAATACTCATTTGGTTTTAATTTGAGGGATGCTACCCCACTTTCTAGTTTAGGGGTCTCTTCTGTAATACATCTGTAGAAAAAGTTGGGTTTTACTAATCAGCAAAAGACTGTATAACTTTCAACTCTCTCATCTTACTAGAATCTTGATTCCTACGAGTATCCAACTCATCTCGCAATTGAGCAGTTTGAAACGAGATTAAAGTACTCAGGCACCATATAACACCAACCTAATTCAACTTCCTGCTCTTTCCATAGACGTGATATTAGTCAGAATTGTCTCGAGAAGTAAAGTTTCCTCACCAATGTGTAACATGCGCCTGTCTCAAAATAGCCCAATGCAGTAATCGTCGTGGTTTAGTCTGTTACGTACGACACTAGTTGCTGTCGTGCTCCACAGGCTATAGAGAATTAATTCCCATGGAGCATGGTAGGTTTCCTGACCAGACGTTCAACCGTAGTCATTCGTTTAGACATCATTGAATGCCATCAGTTATATTTATTGGCACAACAGTTGCACTTAATTTGTTGGACATGACTGTCTTTTAGAATTGTCTCTTTGAGTAAGTTGTCTCTGAGCAGTTTATCAATAACACTATACCTCTAAACAAAGAGTAGCTGGAGGCAGCAAATACGATCACCGCTATCTTCAACCAGCGTTTTAGCTACACGGTTGCGTAATCTGATAACTGCAATCTTTCGTATTGCAGACAACAGTCTTGCTGTGTAATAGTGTACAGGCTACACAAACCAATCAGTTTTTGTGAATACGGTATGCGCTGTGGTATGTCCAAGTGTAAGTAATATTATAAGTATGACTGGAACCCGTTACTTCACCCAGCTTCATAGTTTAACTACCAGGGGTCATCGGAAAGTCCATATATCTGGTTGTGACGGATTGAGTTCCCAACGGTAGAGAGAAAGCCAGGGTGACACAGACCTACCTGGGTAGTCCAGTTGTCAAAGTTCGGGCTCAAAAAGCTTTAGTTGTCTCACTGTTGTTCTATGCCTGTGAAACCTGGCCCCTTGGACGTGAGAATATACAGCATCCGTTTGAGTTACCATTTAAGTAAACCAGGAGTCCGACAAACTATGCGAATTGTCTATCAGTAATCGACTCCGTATTGGGATACAAGCTTTAGAGGATTCGACGTGTATTGCGGTTGCCATCCCCGCCACTTTAATTGTGTTAGCATGGTTAGCCAAAGAGAACTTGCAGCTGTGCTTGAGCTACGGTAAAATGTCGCTGATGGTTCGAATCAGTGGTGAACGGGCTGCAATTGTTTTGGTTTTTATTTGGAAACTTGGCAGTCATGCTTGCATTTTTCCATTCCGTAGTTCCTCAACTGTTTTTTACCCTTTCCCTTTTATTATCTTTCGCTGCCCATATTTGACTAAGTTTATTCCCTAAATTGATGATTCTACTTGTGGTCCAGTTATATTGTAGGTTGCTGTTCTTTTGGGACATCCTAAAAGTCTTAATGGGTGAAAGCTTGTATTTTTTAATAATTGTAGCTCTAGACATATACTTATTATTTCTGATCCACTTTATCCTGCTGCTTCTCTTGTTACTGCTTTGTTCAGATTCATTAAGAGGAATTCGTGTGTGAAATTTCTTAAGAAACAATTAATTTCTACTGGATAGCTTTAACAAACGTCAACTGATCGTTTTCTTTGGGCAGAAGTAGTGAATATACTTCCGTCTTTTTGAGTATTATATATAGTTTTATTCGCGTTAACTGTAGCAGGACTTATTCAGTATTCAACACTGCAGGTACAGTGAAGAGTTACCCTCTTAGTAATATACAGGCTTAGCAAGTAACTAGAACATGAAATGGAGTCTTGGAGATTGTAACTTAAACATCATTTAGTATATTGTTATGTACCATTGTGTCTAATAATTTGCTCTGCTCCGATCTTGTGTACCAGAGAGTGTTTTTTCTGGTTACGCCTTGTTTACTACCACTCTGCTGTAGCTTCATTAACATAAATTGTCATTTGAAAATAGTTTGATGAAGTGTGGAGATTGATTTATCTTATTTTTCTGCTTAGCTATCTTTAATATTTGACTTTTTCTGCATAACGGAACTACGCGTGACTGTTTGAACTGGTGAATTGTAGTGTCTTCATTTGTCTAATTAGAGGGCAGTAATATCTGCTGACTGTTTATTTCTTCTGAATTCAACGGAGTGATACAGGTGAAAAAATGAAAGTAGGCTGTTATTTAATTTTTTATTATTCCTTAACGTTCCCAGTGGAACATAGGGCTTCAAGCTAGAAGCTTGAAGTTTCTGTAACAGTGTTTATTTTTACAGGATGGGGTTACTAGCGTCATGCCCAACCTTTCCTATTTACCAGCTTTTTTATTACTGGCTTAACGAGGTAAAGGATTGCGTCGGCCGGGGATCGAACCGCGGACCATGTGCATGGTTGGCTAGCGTCCTAACCGCTGTGCCAATGACGCACTGTTATTTAATATGCATTGGTTTATTTCTTCACTGTGTATTATATATAGGCTTAGTATCCCCTCAGAATGTCCCACAAGTAAATAACCCAAATGTTTTCATAATAAACATTTGGGGAAATTATAAATGTCCAAACCAGGATCACTTTTAACAGTTTGAAATTTCTGTGTGAACTTATCCAACTTTATCTGATAAGAAGGCGCTCTCAGCTATCTAACAAGCGTTTAATGTACTTGTACAGGGTGTATAAATTACATGTCACATGATTCTTGGGTTAAATAAGTAATAAATTGATCAGTACTCAGTTTATTTAGTAAATTAAACAAATTTGAATTTATATGGAAATTGTTTTGTTTTTAAATTAAATTTTCTCATCGATAGCATACAACTATTATTATATGTGTAAAACTTGAGCACTGTAGTAGTATGTATAATCCTTGTTAATTTGTTCATTAGACAGTATCACACAGTGAAATAGTATTATTTACTTGGATAGTGTTTTGGACATAATTTATTGTTCATAATCACATCAAGTGATATTATAGCTGATTCAGTTATGAATAATAACTTGTGTTCGAAGCGCCATCCAGTAAATAATAATACTGTTTCACTGTGTGATATATCTAATAAACAAATTAATATGGAATT